AGGAAAATCATTTTTGTGAATTAAAATTCCATAAATATATACATATACATACATATAGATGTTGTATATCTATATGTATTCATGTATAGTAATTTTTTTTTTTTGAGACAGAGTCTAAAGCTGTCTCCCTGGGTACAGTACAATGGCATCACAGCTCACAGCAATCTCCAACTCCTGAGCTCAAGCAATTCTCCTGCCTCCATCTCCCAAGTAGCTGGGACTACAGGCACCCACCACAACGCCTGGCTATTTTTTGGTTGCAGGCATCATTGTTTGGCGGCCCAGGCTGGATTCAAACCCGCCAGCTCAAGTATATTTGGCTGGTGCCTTGAGCTACAGGCGCTGAGCCTCATGTATAATAATTTTATATGCTGGTTTTTAAACAGAGATCTGATTTTAATAATATTTGTTAATTACTACAATAATGACCCAGTAAATACATTTATCACTTTATACTTACAAAGGACTTTCACAACCACCTTATACAACTCTCAAAATAACTCTATTAGATAATATTACATTATCTCCATTACATAGCTTTGTTACATATATGAGTAACTGTCAGTTATCTATTACTTGAATAAATGTTGTTGGTCTAAAAACTTTAATAGTAGGTGTTTGACAGTGGACTAGGTGTTTCAATAATCCCATGATGTAAATATTTTTATTTCCCTTGTTATTAAAGAGGAAATGTAATGTTCATTTTTAGGATAGAGACTTTTCACCTTCAAAAAAACTAATTTTAGACCAGGCACAGTGACTCACACCTGTAATCCTAGCACTCTGGGAGGCTGAGGTGGGTAGATTGCCTGAGCTCAAGGGTTTAAGACCTGCCCTAAGCAAAAGCGAGACCTGGTCTCTAAAAATAGCCAGGTGTTGTGGTGGGTACCTGTGGTCCCAGCTACTTCAGAGATTGAGGCAAGAGGATCACTTGAGCCCAAAAGTTTGAGGTTGCTGTGAGCTATGACACCATGGCACTGTACTAAGGACAAAGTAAGACTGTCTCAAAAAAATAAAAAATAACGAATTTTAAAATAAATTTAGAGTCTTAATGAGGGGCACTGATCTGGGCCTCTTCAGTTTTCTTAACATTTTTTTTTAGAGTGCTGCTGCTTATGAAAAATGGACTAATATCAAATGAATTCAGAAAAATGCCAGTCTAAACACTAGTCGACACTAGTCTTGTGACAGTGGACAGATTTCTGCCAATCCTATAAACTGCGTAGCTCTAGACCAGAGTTTAGCAAATGGTAGCCCTAGCACAGGATGCAGCCCTGAGATATAAAGTAACTGCGGTTTTTACATTGCTGAAATTTGCCATTTGATATTGGAGTACATTCTTAAATAAATGTGGTCATCTTTCAATGAACATTTCTTGCCTTATGTTTTCTTGCTGATGAATTATTACTGTTTCTTTTCTTTTCTTTTTTTTTTTTATTTTTGCAGTTTTTGGTTGGGGCTGGGTTTGAACCTGCCACCTCTGGTATATGGGGTCGGCGCCCTACTCCTTGAGCTACAGGTGCCGCCCTTTGCTGTTTCTTTTCTAATTGTTTTAGTCTATAGAAATGATGTTAGTCAAAAAGCAAATTTGAGGAATTTTTTTTTTTTGCAGTTTTTGGCTGGGGCTGGGTTTGAACCTGCCACCTCCGGCATATGGGGCCGGCGCCCTACTCCTTTGAGCCACAGGCACTGCCCTGAAGTGATTTTTTTATTCGAGTTCAAAATGGGTCATAAAGCAGCAGAGACAACTTGCAACATCAACAATGCATTTGGCCCAACTGCCAATGAACATATTGTGCAGTGTGGTTCAGAAAATTTTGCAAAGGAGACAAGAGGCTTGAAGATGAGGAGCATAGTGGCCAGCCATTGGAAGTTGACAAGGACTAACTGAGAGCAATCATGAAAGCTGATTCTCTGCTAACCGCACAAGAAGTTGCCAAAGAAGCCAGGCAGGTGGCTCACACATATAATCTTAGCACTCAGGGAGGCCAACGTGGTGGATTGCCTGAGGTCAAGAGTTCAAGACCAGCCTGAGCAAGAGTGAGATCCCCATCTCTAAAAAAAAATAGCTGGGCCTTATGGTGAGCACCTGTAGTCCCAGCTATCAGGGAGGCTGACTCAGGAGAGTTACTTTGAGTCCAAGAATTTGAAGTTGCTGTGACATCATGACACTCTACTGAGGGTGACAAAGTGAGATTCTGTTTCAAAAAAAAAAAAAAAAGGAAGTTGCTAAAGAACTCAATGCCGACCATTCTCTGGTCATTCTGCATTTGAAGCCGATTGAAAAGGTGAAAAAGCTTTATAAGTTGTTGACTCATGAGCTGACTAAAAATCAGAGCAATCGTCATTTTCCAGTGTTATCTTCTCTTATTCTATACAACACCAACCAACCATTTCTTGACCATTTCTTGATTGGATTGGAACATGGAATGAAAAGTGGATTTCATAGACAACCAGAGACCTGCTCAGTGGTTGCTCAGAAACCTCTAAAGCACTTTTCAAAGCTAAACTTGCACCAAATAAAAGTCATGGTCACTGTTTGGTGGCCTGCTGTCAGTCTGATCCACTACAGCTTTCTGAATCCCGGTGAAACTATCACATCTGAGAAGTCTGCTCAGCAAATGGATGAAATGAACCAGAAACTGCAATGCCTGCAGCCGGCACTGGTCAACAGAAAGGG